CATTAGTGTGCATCATCCGTTTCATAGCTCTGTCTGCTGAAGGCCTGAGTGCACCCCAGAAGGTTATGTAGGAACCCACCTTTCAATAGAGCAGTGGCCGAAAGAACGATTTAAGTAGCAAAATAAATAACAGTAGTGTTGTATTATCACCCAAGGAATGAAAAAATAGAGTCCGTTGATGATATAAGTAAATTGACTGAAGGGAGAAGGGACAACTCTTTCTTAGAGAAGAATTCTAATTAATATGTGTAGAAAGAATGAGAGATAGTAAATCACCATTATACCACAGTACAGAGATAATTTTTGCAGGCAAGATCAACAGATGAATGCTAAAACTCGTGAGCCAAAGTTGAAGGATACATAGGATATTTGCATAATCTTAAAAACGTCTTCCCCTAAGTAACTGTCGATGGCAAAGGGGAAGCTAGTGATGTCATAGTGGAGAATCCCGAAGACATGACCTTAGCCAGAAGGTCAAGGTTAACATCACTGGCAGTGGATACAACGTGCTAATAAGAAAGTCACATCACCTCTGTGGTATTCCCCCAAAATCCGTGCTCTCTCAAACTATCAGACACCTGACTGAGGGACGTTCCAGGAGATGTCTGACTGGTAGTCTTCAGACGTTGCCAAGGTCATGAAAAGCAAGGGAAGACCAAGGGAACCGCCACTGACCAGAGGACGCTGAGGACACATGACGACTAAAGGCACTTGGGGTGCGAGGCTGATCCTGGATCAGGCGTTGGTGAAAGGCTGGCGAAAAACAAGCGACGTCTTTCACTTCAGTTACCGCTGTGGTGTGTTTTCTCACTGTGACCCCTGTGTCGTGTTTCTTTGGGTCGTTAACATTGTGGGAAGCTGCGAGAGGTGTGTGACAGTTTGCTCTCTTTGCGACTGCTCTCCTAGTCTAAAATTATCTCAATACAAGGTTAAAAATACACACATATATAACAGAAATAGCCAAAAACAAGTTGCTGAGAAAAAGTCGCATTTAGAATAGTCACTTGGCTTATTGCCTTTGAGGAACTGGACGTAAATGCCTGCCACTGTCTTTCAGAAATAAAAACGACAGACAGTTTCATTTAAGGCACAGAAATGTGTTCATAAGAATTATTCGAAAATGGCAAAGTTTGACAAACTACCTTTAGGCATTTAGCAACTCGTCAAGATTATCTCATCTTTTTTTAGACGAGATCACGAAGCATCTCCACGGAATACTCAGAAGTGACCATACGAACTACTTACACCCTTATCCTGCAGGTTACAGGGAAAACCACACGCACGCACACGTGGCATTGTGGCGTGTGTCTGGTGGGTGGAGGTGGGTAGAGTCTAACGGAACACAGAAGAGCATCTCACCCACGTCCGAAGTAGCAGCTCCAGGGCAAGTGATTGCTCTGAGTGAATAACCAGCTTTCCTCTGTGTTACACCATTTGTTTGCAGATAAACCTGCTTTCAGGTTGGGGCTTCCTATGACTGTGATGCTTATGAAGACGCCTTTCACAGATTGACAAAGCACCTTGGCAGGTTCAAATAAAATAAGAAGAAACTAGTTAGAAGATTATCCTAGCATATTAATAGTTTCTAGATGTTTAAAAGAAAAGGGGTAAATAGATTCCATTTGTCTCTTTTCTATACATGGTCATCAGGTCACGTCTCCCCCAGTCTCATTTTCTTTATATATGTGGCTTTTCTCCATTGAAATTATTTTATTCGTATGAAGATTATATTTGCAGGGGATAAGCCTAGGTAGATCCGTGTTATTTCAAACGATTATACTCATTACCAAACGAGGTCTTGGCGTTTTGTAATACTGTGCTAGCTGCTGTGGGAAATAACAAAATAATTTCTGTCCGCCAAGGAGCACAGAATCTGGTAGATACGTGGACACGTGTGACCGGGTGGGGTCGGGATGGAAGGGGTAAGGTGTAAGTACAGAGGTAGCGTTCTCAAGCTTCCGGATAGAAACTGCTGTGCTGATTCGGAGCCCCTTTTAAACACTGTCGCGGTCGCATGGCTGTGTGGAGGTGCGGCCAGCCGAAGAGCAGGCCAAGTGGGGGTCTCTAAATCCCGGCCCCAGGACATTTCAAAGAACCTTCCCAGTCTTCTAAAATCCACTACAAGTACAGAGGCAATAAATAACTTATATTTGTATTTGTTGCGTATATAATTATCTCTTTAGAGTTTACAGCAATTGCTAGTGTCCAAATAACATGTTTTTCTAAAGAAACACTTCGTTTTCGAGTAGCAGCCTCTCAGTAACTCTCTCATCCTTCTCTTGTGCTGAGTGCAGTCGGAGGAAGAGGAATTGGAGTTGGTGAGTGCGGGTCTCTGCTTGAAGGGAGTTGAAAAAGATGTTGAAAGTACTGACTCTGAGTGTTTTTATCTAACCAGCGTTCCCGTCGTTACGCAGGCTTTTGTTACTAAACACTGTCCAAGTGCACTGAGTAACTAAACCAGTCGCTGGGAATACGGCATCTCGTTTTTCTACTTCTCAGTGTATATCTTGACCCATTTTTATTTGTTGGAGCCTTTTAAAACAATAGCTGTCCATGATCACAGACCACTCACGAAAGATATTTTTTACAGGAAAGATACAAAATACCTTATATAGTTCCCCAGATTATGAATGTATTTTTAGAAAATGACCTCACCTTCAAAGTTCCTCAGATTGTAACACATGGTCTTGTGTTATTTCTCTTTCTTTCAAAAAGATGACATCATTTTTGGTGAGGTCACCTTTTCACAGAGTTGGAATTATTTCATCCTGCATGAGACGGTCTGAACCCCAAAGGGTTTTCCTGTTTACTGAAAGGAGCGTCTGTAATGAAATATACACAAACTTACTTTTTTCCTATCAGAAGAGATTTCATTCTTAAAAGCAGCTATTAACCTTTTTCCCAAAACAAATGATTTCTGTTTGCTTTTCTTCTGGCACATAAGTTTGACTAAAAATAGCTTTGAGTTGATCTATTTCTTCTTTGGGAACTAAAACCCGAAGCCCACAGAAGCGATCGTCTGACTTCACCTGCTCATTAGATGATTTTTAAAGGGGATAAAAACTTGAAAAAGTGTAGTTTTTAGCATGGAAGAGGGGTGCAGACTGCATGAAAGCATGGGGGGAAGGCATCTTGGGTTTTATTTACATTTTATCATTATACTTATATGCATGCTGGTGTGTTTTGCACAGTTTTTTTTTTTTTTTTTCAAATGAGTTCTGTGCTCTGTCCCTAAGAGATCGTTCTTGATTTTGTGATCATTCGTGGTTTTGCATGTGGTTTTGTATTGGTTAAATCATACTCGTCAGCTGTCACCGTGGTGCTGGATTACATCATGTGCAGATTTAGAATCTTTCGGGGAAAACACTTTACTTAATGATACAGTAACGATTACCAAATGGAAGTTTATAGTTGAGATAGAATAATTCATCTTGGATTAGACCTCACTGTTTACCCTTAAGAACTTGTCACGAATGCGTCCTTGTAAATTATCTAGCTATATGTCGCCCTCTAATGGTTTCAGAAGTCACTTACTCTTGTAAAACAGTGCCAAACACAATCTCTTAGCATTGAGAAAGTTTTTCAAATCGGTTTGAGCTCTAGAATATAACCGTGGATGGCTCTGACCCAAAGTGAGGGAGGACAGGTCCCTGGAGCCTGCACTGAGGACTCTCGAGAGCCGGGCCACAGAGATTCCCATAGAAACCTTGCGGTTTTCGAACAACTTCGCGACAGCTCAGGGGAATGAGCGTGTTTCTCTCTTTTTCACCAATTATGTGGAAATCTTGGGCCAGAGGGTTCGTAATGACAGTAAGGGCGCTCGCTCGCATTTGTGTGGCCCTTCACTGATTACCCTTTGAAAATGGCGATGGAGAAAACCGAGTCACATTCTGATTCTTTATCATCTGAATTATACTTTTATTGATGTGGCTTAGATCCCTCTGTCCCCAGATGTCAGTTATCGGGCTGTCACTTCTTCATTTAGAAACAATACCCCTGGAGGTATGCTTTGGCCTCCCTGTGCACTCGCCACATGGAAGGAACGTGGAGTCTGTCTGTTCCTCTGACCCTTGGTTTTGGTCAGTGTCTTCCAGCCAGCCTGGTGACAGACTGCTCCCAGAGAGGACGGTGACCGTCCCGAACTGACTTGGTCGCTCAGCAGCTGGTTTTAGCCCTCGTTCCCAGTGTAGGCAGGGTGCCGTGTGGCGGGGTCGGTCAGCAGGCAGTGAATGCTCGTGCACAGCCCCGTCCACAGCACGTCCGCCAGCACACTCTGCCAGGCCTGTCCGTTCGGGAGAGTCGGGAGCTGTGGAGCGATGCATACCTGAACCTGCGCTCAAATCCGTCAGCTGGTGGGCGATGTTGACCATCAGGCTGTGCATCGTGGGCGGGAGATCGCTGGACCACCGCTGAGTTTTGCTGTGAACCGTAAACTGCTCTAAAGCAGTCGTGATCAAATATACGTGACTTCATGTGTGTAAAATCAGCTGCAGGCTCACGGGGAGGGGACGCAGGTACAGGCTGCGCTTCAGTGAGCCACGGCGTAAAGCCACCTAACGTGTAAGCGCTGAAGTACAAGCAGCTTTAATCCCTACTCTCAGGGACTTACGTCTCCATCTACTCATGGCCTCTGCTGTCCTCAGGTCTTTAAAACCTACACACACTTTATTTCGGGTCGCCTTAAGTCCTCATTTATGCGAATGCATACAAGTGTGGTTACTCAGAATGAGTTTCTGTGTTAAGGGTATGTCTCTGACAGCAGTAAATTCCGAATGAATAAGACAGGGGAAAATGACTAATTTGTGTAAAATTGTCCCTTAGAATTAAATATTTAGTGATTCCCATTAGTATTTTGAAGGTTTTCACATCATCGCTGCTTCAGGAAGTAATGACATTCACATCATAAAACTGTGAAAAATGTCACTTTTAAATTGAATGTTATTTTTAGAACATGAAGTCTGAACATAAATACACGATAACACTTTTGTCCTCTCTCGCAGAATACCCAAAGGATAAGCAGTTCCCAAGCCACTCAACCTCTCGCTACCCCGGTGGTGTCCGTGACGACCCCGAGCCTGCCTCCGCAGGGGCTGGTGTACTCGGCGATGCCGACCGCCTACAACACTGGTGAGCTCGCTGTCGCCCCGTGGCCGTTCTCTTTTGTGACTAACGTGCTTTTGTGATTTTTTCTTTAAAAAGGTATATTTATTGAAAGTATTTCTAGTTCTTAGATTCACATTTGGACATGTTAAAAAACACATACTAGCCTTGAGAAAATGACAGAACACATCACTTGCAGGAGGATCTCCCAGCAAGGGAACAGGTAGCCGTTTGCAGGGGCGCGGTGTGCGTCACGCCAGGGAGCGTGTGCTCGGCCTGTGCTGTCCCCTCTCCCTCTTCCTGCCGCGTCAGCCTGCTTCGCAGAGGCTGAGCCCCTCGCGCCCCGGGACTCGTGTGGCGCGTGTCGTGTCGTGTCGTGTTGTGTGGGGCACGTCCCTCCGTGTGGCTGCCCGCTTGGCTTCTGTTGTTGGCGCCAGAGGGACAAAGCCAGGACCTTCCTTGTTTCTCAGAGCCAGTCACTCACGTCCGAGAGGAGCTTTGCACTCAGTTATGTGTGTCTAGATGCTTCCTCTTAGATACCCGCTTTCGGGGTACGTCAGGGAAGTTCGAGAACGCTGGAGTGGGTGGGGGCTGCTTTTAGCCCAGTGGGCAGTTCCGCTCGCCAGGCGAGCTGAGCCCCCAGGGCCGCAGGGACGAAGGCGGGAAGCAGTGCGTCTCCGCATTTGTTCTGTTTGTTCGTTTGTTCTTAGATTCCACACATAAGCGAAGTCATATGGTCTTTGTCTTTTTCTGTCTGACATTTCACTCAGCATAATCTCCTCCAGGGGATTGTATATTCTTTCCTCTGTCATAGATTAATTGACCTTACAGGCGTGGGCTTATTTCTGGGCTCTCTATTCTGGTCCATTGACCTATGTGTCTGTTTTTATGCCAATATCGTGCTGTTTTGATGACTGTAGCCTTGTTGTATAGTTTGCTCTCGGGTAGCGTGATACCTCCAGCTTTGTTCTTAGGATTGCTTTGAATGTTGATGACTTGCTGTAGTGTCGTGTTTGGATTCCTTTCTCGTTATTTCTTGTATGTCTCTCATAGATCTTTGGTTTGCGGTTACCCTGTGTGCTTCCTACGTACCAAGCTACGTTCAGACCAGTCTCTTTTAAGTTGATGGTCACTTAAGTTCGGACACATTCTAAAATCACTACGATTTTTTCTCACCCGCTCTACGTTTATGTTTCTGTCATTACTTTTTACTGCTTTTCTGTGTGCATCTCTGTTGCTGTAGTTACACACGATCCTGCTAACTTTTGCCTTTTAACCTGTATACTAGCTTTATAGTTGGTTGATCCACTGCTTTTAAGTGTTTGCCTTTGGTCTGTGAGAATTTTTTTCTTTCCTGTGTTATTTCTGGTCTCTTCTTCTTAAAGAGGTCTCTTTAAGATTCTTTGTGACGCTGTTCTGGTGGTGGTGAACTCCTTTAGCTTTTTCTTGTCTGGGAAGCTCGTTATCTGCCCTTCGATTCTAAATGATGCCCTTGCTGGGTAGAGTCGTCGTGGTGGCAGGTCCTTGCCGTTCATCATTTCGAGTATTTCACGCCACTCTCTTCTGTCTGGCAAAGCTGTCGAGAAATCAGCTGACAGCCTTCGGGGGCTCCCTGCTTTTCCCTTGCTACTTTTAAGATTCTTGGTCTTTAACCTTTGGCATTTTAATTATGGTGCATCTTGATGTGGGCCTCTTTGGGTTCATCGTGTTTGGGATTCTGCGCTTCCTGGACTTGTGTATCTATTTCCTTCACCAGGTCAGGGAAGTTTTCCGTCATTATTTCTTCACATAGGTTTTCAAGTCCACTCTTCTTCTGACTTTGTCAATCAGCAGCTGGTTTTATCCCCTATGATGCAAATGTTGATATGCTGTCCCTTCAAAGAGTCCTCATTTTTTAAAATTTCTTTTTGTTCTGATTGGGTGTTTTCTGCTACCTCGTCTTCCAGATCACTGATTTAGTGCTCTCTGCTTCATGTACTCTGCTGTCTGATTCCTTCTAGTGTATTCTTTTCATTTATTGTAGTCTTCATTTCTGACTTTTTTTAATGCTTTCCGTCTCTGTTGAAGTTCAGAGTTTATCTTTTCTTCCCCTAAGTTCATTAAGCATCCTGTTAACTAGTGCTTTGAACTCAGCATCTGGTAGATCGCTCATCTCCATTTCATTTCGATCTTTCTGAAGTGTTGTCCTGTTCTTTCATTTGGGACATGCGTGTGTCATTTTGGCTGCCTCCGTTTATTTCTATGTGTTAGGGAGGCCTAAGTCTCCCAGTCTTGGCAAGATGGCCTTATGTGGTAGATGTCCTGTGGGATGCAGTGGCACAGTCTCTCTGGTCACCTGAGCTGGGTGCTCAAGGGGTGTCCCCTTGTGTGGTTTCTGTGCACCCTCTTGTCATCGAGCTTTAATTGCTGTTGGCTCGTCACTGGGAGGGATCGACTCTCAGGCTGACTGATGCGGGGACAGGCTGTGACCACAGTGGACTTGCTGTCATGCAGGGATGACCCCAAGGAGCAGGATTCACTTTCGCGGGGCTCCGGTGCTGCCCAGTCTGCCCTTTGGGTGTGTCATGTACGGCAGTGGTTGGACGGTGCTCTGCTGTGGTGTGAAGCTGGCCACTGCCTGCGTGGGTTCTGGGGCCGCTTGGGAGGGGAGGGGCTCTGGTGCAGGCCAAGGCCACCGGGGCCACTCGGTAGGAGCCACAACGTGGACTGCAGATGGTCGCTGCCTGCACTGGGCCTGGAGGTGCCTGGGAGAGGCTGCCGCAAACCGAGGCCGGCTGCCACTGGTGCCAGACTTGGGGCCACTTGGCAGGAGGTGCGGGGCACGCCACGGCCCGCTGCTGCGTGCTTGGGGTTTGTGGACCTTTGAGACGTTTTAAGAAAGTCTGCTGTGTGAGGCGAGGCAGGCCGCTGTGTGGGAAAGCTCCTGACAGAGGCTCGGGCTGGGCCGCAGGGAATCAGCAGGGCTCGGCGAATGGCGTTAGCTGGTTAAGGATTCGGTGTCTGCTGGCTGGGTGGGGGTGTGGCTGAAGCAAGGGACAGTGGGGACTGCCAGCACTTCTGGCCTTGGAGAGAGCTGCCCTGAGCACCGTCCCTCTAGCCTTCGTCCTGAAGCTGGTCAGTTCACTTCCTCCCCGTATGTCCCTGCTGCTTTTCAAGTGGCTTACCCTGCTCTGGGGCTTGGAGCAGGTGAGCGGGAGTCTGCATGGGCCCTTTAAGAGGATGTCGGGGGGCCTGCAGCAGCCCTCCCGAGTCTCGCCGAGGGACTCTCTGCTGCTTTTCACAGCCAGATGTTATGCGGACTTCTCCTTTTGGCACTGGTGCCTGGGCCGGGGCCCCTCGCTCCTCTGGGGGGGCCACCACAGCCAAGGTATCACTTCCAGTTTTTATCCGCCACACGGTGTGGCACAAGCCCATTTTGCGACTCCACCCCTCCTACCAGTCTCAGCGTGGCTACTTCTTTATCACCATGGTCACAGGCGGTTCTCAGTGATGGGCGTTCTGTAGTTTAGTCGTAATCTCGATGTGGCCGTGAGAGGCGGCGCGTGTGGCGGTACCTACCGGCCATCTTGACGGGGGGTCCCACGGCACTTGTTTTTAGAAATAGGAGTAGAACGTTCGTTTTTTAAAACTCCAGAAGGAGTTACCAAAACTTGGAAATGGAGTCAGTGTCTCCAAACCATCAGCCGCTTAGCCGCGGTCTCATTCCTCCTCCTCCCTGAGTCTTTGCTCCCTCTCGGGGCTCCTGTCCTGTTCCATGTGACCACATGATCTCTAACATGCTATCTCCGCGTTTTTAAACGCGCACCCATGGTCTGTCTGTCTTTAGTATCATCCGCCTTCCTGCACGTGCTCAGAGTCCAGCGCGTGCCATGGGCAGTGAAGGGCATAAGGGGGCAGAAGCACCCCGGCTCCGGGGGAAGGAAGCCCCGACAGCGCCGCACCCCTCAGATCGTTCCCAGCTTCACCCCCGTTTGTGAGCACGCAGCAAACGCTCAGGGATCACTCAGTGTGGAAGTCCACGGGTGCTTGGTTGGTGGGACGTGGGGCTGGTCGGGGGGAAGGCAGACAGCTCTAGGGATGATGTGCCACAGCCACGGTGGGGCCGCATTTAAGCTTCGACCTGAAGGAGTCAGGCGGGCAGACTGGGGACAGTGTCGGGGCTTTGGGGTGCTGTGTCCACAGGCTGGACGGGCGGTGCCGGCTAGAGCTGAAACTAGAGACATTAAGTGGAGATTTACGGGCCACGTTGGGACTTTATCTTGGGAGCATCGAGAAACCATCAAAAGGTTTTGAGCAGTGAGGTGTCGTGACCCATTTGTTGTTTAAAGATCCCTTTGGGTACGGTGCGTAGGGGCAGATGTGAGTGTGAGGACACCCCGAAGAGGCCCCTGCACTGGCGACCGGCCTGGACTAGCGCGGTGGCGCACAGATGGTGAGACCTGGCCCGGAGGGAGAGGCAGGAGCTGGAGCTGACCGGCGCTGGCGGAAGGGAGCGGGAGCCGCACGGGCAGCCACGTACTGTGGGTGCCGTTCGCCAGGCTGAGGAGTGTTTAACCCTCGCCCCGTTAGGAAGACAAGTGCAGCTTGCTGCCGACGCCCGTTTAACATCACTCGAGGGAACGTGCCGTTTTCTAGGATGACAGTTTCAGTGATCAAGAATTACTATATTTTGTAAATGGAAATACCACTAAAAACAGAACGCTATAAATAGAACGTCGTTTATTTCCAAAGACTTCAGATACACTAGAGCGACGTGAAAATAACAAGCGGATGTTGCGTGGCAGACTTTGGGGGTGAGGTCAAGGCTGTCGTCCGCCGGTTGTCTCGGGGTCGGCGCTGCAGCCACAGGCGCCGCCGGCGAGTATTCTCGGGGCAAATGGGAAGCGGGTTACAGAGACGCAGGTTTGGAGGAGAGATGAGGTCAGTTTGGTCATACTGAACTTGAGGAGTTTGGGGACGTCCACGTGGACCTGGCAAGTAGGTAGCTGGAAGGACCTTGGAAGCAGAAGTCAGGAGACCTGGGGGCTCACAGGGGTCCCTGGACCCTCCACCCCGACTTCTGTGGACGCGGACGGACAGCCTTAGGGGACGCAGAAGGAGAAAAGCCCCAGTTCGACTGTTTCAGCTCAGTTGCTTTTTTAAAAAAAATGTTAATTCACCGGGAAGACACCTCTCTTGAGAAAAGAAAAGTTAAAAGTAGAGGAGTGTTTGCCACCCTCTTCAGAGCTGAATGGAAGAGACAGGCGTTAATGAACTGAAATAACGCCACGTGCGAATGACAGCTACTGTCCCCAGTCTTGGTGTAAGTGACGGTGACTGAATCATGCGTATAAAATGACCTTCATTATACTCCGGTGACACTAAGATTTTTCATGAACTTGCACATACTTTGTTTGCTCTCAAGGATGTTTGACGTTCCCTGTAGTTTGAACAACTGCAGTTAGTTGCGTAGCGGTAATGTATGTACCGTGTGTGTCACTCAGCCTGGTGCCCCCTGGGAAGGGGCACGGCGTCTTTCCTGTCCCTGCTCCTTCAGGAGCACGGACTTGCAGATCCAAGCTCGGTCCATGTGAGCTGGAGTCTTTGTCTCGGGAGGGTCCTAGGGGCGTATGTATTTAAAATGACACTTGCACAGGGACACCCGTTAGTGACGGCCTCTATTATTTAAGGTCTGGAAAGGTGTCCCAACTTTTTGTGAAATCATGAAGTATAAACATTCAGTACAAAATTGAAACCTATTTTATTGAAATAATTCCAAATGACTACATAGCTAGGTCCTCTAAAGCAACCAAAGGAACATTTCCTGCGGGGTCGAGGCCCGAGCGCGTGACGCTGAGGAGCCTGGCTTCTCTCCACCGGGGAACTTTCGAAGCTGCTGTTTGCGAAGCTCTCGGTGCATCAGCCGTGTGTCTGTCTCTCTTTTCCAGATTATTCGCTGAGCAGCGCGGACCTGTCGGCCTTGCAGGGCTTCGGCTCCCCGGGAATGCTGTCCCTGGGACAGGTGTCGGCCTGGCAGCAGCACCATTTAGGACAAGCAGCCCTCAGCTCCTTGGTGTGAGTAACTGGAAGCGTCGCCCGGCTCCGCCCCCAGCTTGCGCTCTCCCTTTTTCTAGACTTCTCTGTGACCTGCAGTGACACTTTCAGGTGGCACAAGCGTTGGGAGGAACATCGTTCCCATGGCTCTAGGTGACAGCTTGGGTGTTGGGCAGACTGAGCGTGCCCAGGACAGATGCGGGGAGCGGGGCTTCTCGTATGTGGACGTGCTGGGGAGATTCGGTATCTAAGGGGGTACTGAGGCACGTGCACCCCCTTCTGCCTCCTCTTGCCCAGCCCTGTGTCTGATGCCACCGTGGGAGGCAGCTCGGAGGCGTTGGGGCGCACCTGCCCCCCTGTGGGTTTCGCTTGGTGAATATGAGCAGAGCCGGGGGATGAGCTGTGCCCTTCGCTTTGTCCCCGGCTCGGGAGGGCCTAGGGGTTGGACCTCGCTGGCAGGATGCCTCGTGCATGGTGCAGACCACACGACTCCAGGGTTGAGCCCGCTCCCTGCACCTCGCCAAGCAGCGTCCACAAAGAGCACGCTCGTTGTGGGCAGGCTGTGGGCACGTGAGCGGAAAGGGTTGACAGCAGCCCCGGACGTCGCCCGCAGGGGGGAGCAGCGGCACTGTGTTTGCGGTGCCAGCGTGACGGCCCCTGGAGCGGGGTCGGCACAGCCACCCAGCCTGTCTCCAGGGCCACCCCGCCTCCTGAATTCTGACCTAAGTGCGCAATACCTTCTGCTATATAGGTCGTCTCTTGGGAATTACGGCCTGGACAAAGGCCCTCAGGCCTCAGCCCTAAAAGTCGCTGCATGGCATTCCGCTGTCGGGGTGGTGGACCAGTTTGTTTTATCCTAAAAAAGTAGGCCGCTTAGTCATCAGTTGGTAGAAGGGGGTGCAGAAGGCGGGGGGGATGCCTGGCACTCCGTCTGGGGAAGCTGGCACACGCTGAGCACGTGACCTACTTTTGAGACTGTTGCTCATCCTTAGAGTTGCTGTGGCAGTAGAGGGGATGTTGTGGCTGTCACAGGACCAGCGGAGCACAGCGAGGGCGGGGAGAGGGAGCCGTCACGTCGCCGTGTCCTTCTCCCGTTTTGGTCCTTGACGGCATTAGACGCTGTTTGGGGGACTTCAGCTACGAACGTACCAAGGGCGTGGGTAGAACGGGCCACTAAAGGCCTCTTTTTGTTTGGTTTGTTTGACATTTCGTCACGATTAGACTGAAATTACTCAGTTCAGGCAGGATAACCGCAGAAGCCATGTGGTAGCCTCAGCGCATGCTGTCAGGTGTTGCGTTACTGGTGACAGTGACCTCGGTCACTTGGTTAAGTGTTGGCCGTATCTCCATAACGTTACTAGGTTTCCCTTTCCAATTGAAAAATATTTGGGGGCGATATTGTGAGATTATGCTAATGTCATATTTCTCAAAGTTTTGCCTATAGATTTAGCATTAGTTCATTTTTTAAAACTTATTTAAAAAGTTTATTTAATGAACGATTTTTCGAACAGTTTGAAGTTCACACCAGAGCTGGGTAGCAAGGACATTCCCCGTCCTCAGTCACACGTCCCCATCAGCGCCACACAGCACGTGCCACGCATACGGTCCGTGGGCGCACGGGCGTGCGGGCACCGCGCGGCCTAGAGCTTGCCTGCTGTGGGGTTGACTCTGGTGTTGCCGTCGGGGGCTCTTGACGAACGTAGACGCACAGGGATCGCTGCCATTGGAGGAGCAGTTCCAGCACCCCGAAAATCCTCGGTGCTCCGCCTGCTCACCTGCCCGTGCCCCCGCCCCGGCAGCCGCCATCGGGTTGGCCCTGCCTCGTCCTGAGTGTCGCAGAGTCGCAACCCTGCATCCCAGCCGTTTCAGCTCGGCCGCTTTCACGGCTGGCCAGCTCGTTTCCCCCGGTGCTGCTCGCCCAGCCACCTACCGAGGGACAGGCGTCACGGCTGCTTCGAAGTCTGGGGAATTATGAATGAGTAAAGCAGCCGTGAACTTCTGCGCCCAGGTTTTTGTGTAAGCGTTAAGTTTCCGGCTCCCCTGAGTAAATACCGAGGCGTGCGGTGGCTGGGCCGGCGGGTAACAGCACATCGAGGTTCGTGAGACGGGAACCCGCCCTCCGCCTTCGCCCTGCCGGGGGGCTGCGCCTCGCTCAGGCCGCGTGAGGGGAGTGGCCCACGCCGGTGCGGGCGGTTCTGCTGCTGTTGCGGACGCGGATGTGGATGCGGGCTGGCCTCTCAGCCAGGCGCGGTCCGTGGTGTCCTTCCGTGGTGCAGACGCTCACAAACCGTCTGACGTCTTTTTTTTTTTTTTTTCCCTTTTTCCAGTTCTGGAGGGCAGTTATCTCAGGGTTCGAATTTATCCATTAACACCAACCAAAACATCAACATTAAGTCAGAACCGATTTCACCTCCCCGGGATCGAATGACCCCATCGGGCTTCCAGCCGCAGCCGCAGCCCCCGCAGCCCCGGCAGGACATGGGGCGCTCCCCTGTGGACAGTCTGAGCAGCTCGAGCAGCTCCTACGACGGCAGTGACCGGGAGGACCCCCGGGGCGACTTCCACGCCCCGGTGGTGCTGGGCCGGCCCCCGCACGCGGAGGACCGCGCGAGCCCCTCGGGGAAGCGCATGAGGATGGACGCGTGGGTCACCTAGGCGCCCGAGCGGCCGCAGTGAGCTGCCCGACGTACCCGAATCGGTCGGTAAGGACGCGAGGTAAATATTTATGTGTACATACACACATGTGTAGAGGCTGTGTATGTATGTGGGCGTGCGTGTGTGTGTGTGGGCCTATCGCATTCGCCGTCAGGCACTTCCCCGCGAGCTCCGCGTAGATGTGCAGGTGTGTGGCCCCTGGCAAGCCAGGCACCCTGTAGGCAGTCTAGTCTGGCACTTCCTTGTTTCACGAGATCACCAGTTTTTGCAGAGAAACGTACCCACGTGTGACTCTCCCACACTAGCTTGCGGCGACCTCGAGGGCCCCTCCTTGTGCTATTTAACTGTGCGGTGACTTTAGTACCCAAGAAAAATGCTTTGTAGACCAGAGCCGTAGAAAAGCAGGAACCAAGAAAGCAATACTGTACATAGAATGTCGTTTATATTAACTCCCCAACCCGGCATGGGTCTCTGTTGCAAAGGGGTGCATGGTAAAGGGCTGTCGATATTAAAAAACAAATGGAAAAAAAAAAAAAGCCCCACACATAACTGTTTTGCACGTGCAAAAATGTATTGGGTCAAAGAAGTGATCTTTAGCTAACGAGAGAGAATAGAAAACGCGCATGAGATTCAGAAAATACTAGCCTAGAAATATAGAGCATTAACAAAAGAAATTAATATATTAAGTTATAATTGGACTATGTCAGAAGTTTCTTTTTACAGTCATATCTTAAAAATTAAAGAAACTGATTTTAGCTCATGTATATTTTATATGAAAGAAAACACCCTTATGAATTGATGACTATATATAAAATTATATTCACTACTTTTGAAAACATTCTGCTATGAATTATTTATATAAGCCAAAGCTGTATGTTTTAACTTTTTTTTTTAGAGAATAGCTTTATCTTGTTTTAACTTTTTAGTTTTATTCTAAGAGGGGAAAAAATATCTTGCAAGCAGAACCTTGGAAAAAAAAAGCCATGAACACTTATTCTATATGTAAATTAAAAGTTGAGCCAAACTCTTTGTGTACATAGCATCTGAAATATATTATCACCTTTGATGTAAGTACCTATGTATTGTATGGTCACCAGATTAAAAAGTATATTTTTGTGGATTGCCGCCAATTTGGGGAGAAAAGGCGAGATCCTTATTAAGTAGAGTATTCACTGTTTAATATTTACTATTTTGTTAAATATACTGTACTTTGGATTTTAATTATTAGCCCGGTCTCTTCGGAGGATTGTGGAAAGGGGTTTCTCCCCTCACTGGTGGTGAAGCGTGACGTTACGTTGTAATCCTCGTGCTGTATGGGTTGAGCATCATTATATATTTTATATGTGTACATAAATAGCAAAGTGGCAAAAAAAAATTGGTGTCAAGTTCATCCTGCATAAATATAAAATGTGTTGTAACAGATTTTATAAGGCATTATTGAAATCTTGCCTTTTGTGAGGAAAAAATATAGTAGAAAAAGCTGACTTAATACTAGAGAAAATGGCAAAATAGTAGATGAGCACAAAGGTTTTCTAAGTGGTAAATGATTAGGGAAATGTTCATCGGGGGCTGGTGTCTTTTTCCTGGGCCCACGATGACGCCGCTGGTTACAAAATGCGGCCATCCCGCCTCTGACGGCGCCGTGGCCGCCGCCTCCAGGGGCCGGTGTCGTGCTGACGGCCAGCGCGTCATCTCCCGGCCTCGTGCTAGGAACAAAAGTCAGAGTCCAGTCTGTCTGTCACCATAGATTTTTAAATACTGCTTTTCCTGAGAAATCAAAATAAGGGTTTAAAAATGCTGCTGTTTTGTCTTTTAAACAATATTCAGCAGCTCCCTACAATTTGTGCTTAGGTTTTGTTTTCCCCTGTAAATTGTGTTCCTTTTGAGGTTTTCCTTATATGCTCTTTGTGACAAATCAGCCAGATTTTCTGAGTGACACACAGGTGTGAAGCCGTGGCAGTCACAGCCGCAAAGTGGAATTCTGTCTCCACGACAGTCGGAAAAGTAAATTTTGATAGAGGCCAAAAAAGGGAGGGCGACGTGCTCTCGCGTCAGCACGGACGTTTGGCTCTTATCAGAAAGGATTCGTTTTGCTTTAAAAATGTCCTTATTTTACTGAACTACTTACAGGCACATTTCCTCATGAGGTCACACCTAACAGAACCAAGACACTGAATTTCCAAGATGATCCTTACCACTCGTAAACCATTCATAGCTTTGAGAGTGTTACGTGATTCCTTCGTCATTGTTTATGCACGTTCATGAACTTCGGCTGGACGTGGGATAGGAGTTACCACATTCACATTTACTGTCTATTTTCTTGTGTGCCTTATGAGATGGCTTTTCTGACTGTATCTCAATAGTCTTTCTTTCTATGCAGGTTTATAATCAATACAACTACTGTTTTCTAAAATAATACTACACACGGCTCGGAGTTTGTATTTCAATTACACTGACCAAGGAACAGTGTATTCCGTTTTCAGGAACTGAATATTAGACTGTTAACCCTTTCCCCACACACGCAGTGACTGGGAGCACTCGGACTTGACACCCCTCACCGTGACACCACGTACGAACACACACGTCTCCTGATGGAAACCAACTCAGTGGGGAAGTCACTGACAGGGTTGTTTAGAACCTACATTTCTTACCCTTTTAGACTCATGTGTTTTGTATGACACCATCATAAGAAAATTTTATCCCTTCAGATGAAGTATTTTATTACTAAAAGACAAAAACAAAAAAAGCTTAGCGTAAATTGCACGGGTTAGAGTACGGTTTCCAGCAGCTGTACCTCCTGCAGCCCCCTAAGGGTGTTCCATCGAGTGAGAGTCACCATTGCATGGCCACAGGTGTCCCAACCAAAACTCCATCTTTTGAGCCCTAATCCCTGTCCATTGTGTTCTCGACTAAATCAGGGGTTTGTTCTAAAAGAACACATTTCACCATTTCCTTTACGTAGAAGGAAAACTACTAATGCATACCATTTTCCGTGTCAACCACCACGCGCACAAGAAATACATAGTAAATAAGGAAGCAGAGAACTCCTGGCATTGGGTCATACGGAGCTAGATGATGATTAGAATGTGAAAAAGATTTTACAAATGTAAAACTTTTATTTCTCTGTAGAAACTTTCTTCACTTTGCTGTGCAAGAAGACACTGCTTTGCTATATTTAAAATGGCTTTTTTAAAAGAGATTTATGTATTTGGTAAATGTTTGTAGTCAACAGTTCACACAAGAAGCTGTACACGGTTTGATCATGTAAAACCGTTTGGCGGCACAAGCTGGACTTTGTTGCCATCCTTGCGATGAAAAATAAGTTAATCTCAATTTTTCCCTGAATGTGTTGTTTTTTCTTCATTATACAATAAATATTATAGTGAACTTTTTATCAAATGGTTAAGAAAATGCTAGAGGTTGTTGTAAACTCTTTGTATCCTGCACTCACTACAGTAAAGACGGACTGGCTTTTCCTGTGTACTCCAGACTCTGTCATCTCTGCCACCAGTCGTCCCTTCCACCCTCCCCTCCCCACCCACAGCTCCCTGCACCCACTCACACGCGGTCGGGGACACGGCGGCAGCCGGCGCGACTCGGGTCAACCCCTTCAGGCTCCAATGAGGACAGGCGTACCCCACCGCCGCGGCGAGGGGGTGTGGGCACCCGCCAGCATTGGGTCGCGTGCATCCTCGAGCTTAGGGCATGACACGTTTCCCCAGATGCACACGTAACGCCGAGCCAGGGGCAGCAGCGGGCTCGCTGAACGAATTTTGTTACTAGAAGAAACAGGTCTCAGAAATGAACCTGCAGTGGAGAGAGTCCTCCTCCTCCGGGCAGCCCTCCGAGCCAGCGCCTCTAAGCACGGTCTGCTGCTGTCAGTGAGACGAAATCTCCATTTTCACCTGGCTTTACCTGCCGGCCTCGGGGCTGCTTCCTGCGCCGGGACGGGCTTTTGCGGCTGGCCCTGTGCCAGCTCGATGGCAGTGGCCGCCTGTCCATTGCCCACAGGGGTCAGAGTACCCCTGACCGGCAGACGGAGGAGGTCCCACACAGGCACCTCGACCTCGGGGACAGGGGCTCGTGGGGGCTGAGCGGGCTAGTGCCCTCCTGCGGCACCCAGCGTGTGACACTGGGTGCGTCCTGGTCCCCAGCTGTCCCGGCGCGGGCTGAGGACCGGCTGTCTCGCCCACTTCCGTGAGGGGAAATGAGGGGGCGGCTCACCCGCGGGGGGCACGGCCCAGACGCCCGTCACCTCCTTCCGCCCGCCCTGCCCGCTGTCTGTGCCAAGGCACGTGACGGAGCTGGCAACAAACGCTCGGCGCTGACGGCTTTTGCTGCATGACCCCCCAACCCCCACTCCCTTTTGACCTTTTTAAAAACGTCTTTAAAAAGTTGAAACAATAACCGTCTCCACATGTCCCTCACCCGGCTCCCCGTGACCGTCACCTGTGCACAGCCACAGTGCTGCCGGGAGCAGGAGCCACCGCACGGTGCTAGCGACGGGCGCCTCGCCGGCCTCTCACCACCCTCCCAAGAGACACTTGGGAAGAACGCCCGTCACCCACTGAGAGCGGTGCCCGCGGCGGGGGTGTCGGCCCCTCTTCACTGGAAAGAACACAGGACGGACGGAGCCTGGACGCATCGCGGACTCCGACGTTCTGTCTCGTTACAGCAGCTCAGGGAAAATGACAGGACTAGATTAGAACCCACGGGATACAATAAAGGAGCCCGGAACGGTCCAAGCAAATAAGTGGGGACGAGGGACGGCTCTTCCCCACGGAACTACAATGAGGAGATGTCGGGGGAAGGCCCGGAACGAGATGCTCACGTTAGGGGGTGCCGGTGTGAGGAACCCCGTCTACTCTGAGTAGGTCCCTGAGCTACCGATCAGGGACGGGGGGCAAGACAGCAGCTTTCCAGGGGAGCCCAGCTGGAGCCACTGAGCCGACTTATTGCCCTGATACCAAAGCCAGATGAGGACAGTATAGGAACCAAAAAAAGACCAATGTCCCTGAGGGGTGAAGACGCAGACATTCTCAGCGAAGCATCGAGCCCAGTCCGGCACGCTGACAGGATCGTTCGCCATGGTCGAGCGGGGTCTCCCTGGAACGCGAGGTTGGTTCTGACGCACGCAGATCTGTGGGACGCGCCACGTTCACAATGAAAGACAAAAGTCACCATGGTTCCGATAGATGCAGAAAACGCATCCGACAAGATACAGAATCATTTCATGTTACAAACGCGCAACGAACTGCATTGAGAAGCAACACACCTCAACACGGTAAAGGCCACACGTGACAGACACACAGCCAACGTCCTCAACGGTGAAAGGCTGAGCTTTTCCTCTAGGGTCAGGAACGAGATGGGGACGCCCGCTGTCCACGCCTGGCCAGCAGCACCGGACGCCCAACCACAGCCATCGGGCCACGTGAGGAAAGGGAAGAACCCCAGTCCCAGCTCCCCCGCCCTGCCCGAGATCAGCGGTGTGACAGCAAACAGGCCGGGGCGCCTCCGAATCCACTTAGGGTTCAGTAGGGGGGAAAAACACAACCGCACAAGAGAAGGG